TAGAAAATGCTACAGCTAATGTCGCGAGTACTTCTAACTTTCGCTAAAATCAAATTGATTAAGAAAGTTTTTCATTTTTTACACTTTTTAACCCTTAACTTAACTTCCTTGGGGTTGAATTTTGAAAAAATCCTTTCTTACAGATGTCTAAATTTCATACTATTATACTTAGATTCAACGGTTCCGGCTTGGTGATTTTTTCTATTTTTACACTTTTCAACCCTTTAGGGGTTGAAATTCAATATAGTTTATAGACAATGTTTATTTGTTTTACAGAGTATGAATACTTAATTTTAAAAAATCAGAACAAAAAAAACGTTAAAAACGTTGTAATCTCTTTTAGTCGTTTTAACCAACTTAGCGCCTTTCCTTTCTTAGCGCACTCCAAGGTCGTAACTGAGGGGGTCTAGGGGTCCATCCCCTCCCGAAATTTTCAAAAGTATAAACATTTCAGCGGTGAATATAGTTTATTAACTATAAATTGTATTAAATAATAATGTTAGACCCCCTCCCCGAAATTTTTTCCAGTTACAGCCATGGCGCACTCCTACGTCATAATAGCTATCTGTATGCTAAATTTCAGCTTGATCGGTTCAATGGTTTGAGCTGTGCGTTGATTGCAGTCAATCAGCTTACTGTTTTACATATACAGAAGGTTGCAGAATCAATCAAAACACAATTATTATACAGGATTTATATGCATTTGTAGATTATATAATTTTCTATCGTCGTTTAAAATACTTGGTCGGTAGAGCATACTACGTTATATATTAATTTATTTAATGTATAATTTTACATATAATTTTAAACACCACTATTATGTACTTTTTAATGACTTATCGTGATATAAATACACTCGAAATTAGATATATTTCAGGCATAGGATTTACCCCGTTGTATTATGACTTGTTGACGCCATCAAAGAAGCCAATATAAATCTTTAATAATTATAAATAGATCACTGCAATATATTTGATTTTAGGAGTCTTATTCCTATGTATTAATCAATTTAATTAATACCTAATTAATTATGTTATAATCAATGTTTTAACAATGAGAATTTAGAATTCCATTAAGGATATCCATTTTTATTGCTTAGAAAATAATAGATTTTTCATTTTTTTTTTTGTTGAAAATTAAAAAAAATAATTTTATACTGACGTGTTTATTAAAAATGAAAAGCATTTAATAATTTCATAATTCTGATCATATTATATCTAGTCGTAAACATAGAACGTACATACAAAAATGTTGTTAATTTTTCTTTTCCAAAAGTGTTAGTTTTCGGGACTTTGTTCATATTATGTGCTTTCAAAAAATATTTTACCCCAGAGGAGTATGCAAGTGGAATAAGCTGCTTATGGACAAACGGAAATTAAAGCTGTAAATTATATTGTGAGGCCGTGGGGGTCTAATAATGTAGGTACTAGATTTACATTGAGGAACATATCAAAATTTATGTTTCACAACTCAAAGAGTGTCAATCAAGGATGAACGTCATAGGTGGGCATCGGGGAGGGGGAGATAGCTTGAGGAGGTGAGAGCTTGAGAGGGCTTAGGACTTTTGCTCAGGACTAAAATTACATACTAGTGATATTTCAAATAGAAAATTATATTCTAGAAAATCATATTTTAAAATCTAACTAAACATTTTTAATCATTCGGTACTGAAATTTCCTATTTGAATTTCATTCTCTACGTATTTGAAAAAATTCTTTCTGACGTGTTCATATCCATTAAATTTTTCATAAGTGAAAACTGGAAGTGTATAATAAGTGTGTAATAATAGGATTGATTTTATAATATAAATTCAACAATAATTGGTACCGTTTTGCTTATATGAATAGTAAAATTTATAAAATTTATAAATTTAATTTATAAGATAAAAGATATTTCATTATGTATATTTATAGATATTATCATTGATGTATACAACAAGCAATAATGCATTGTACAAAATATAACTAACGAGTCATACACGGAACAATCGGTTTGTCGATTTGCTGATAAATTTAAGATTATTGACAGATAAATTGATAGGTGTATGTTATTATTTAATACTTCAAAATTAATAATCATATAAATAACCTAATGATTAAAATGATAATACAAATTGATGTACCTATTGTTATCGGGTTTTCACAGAATTGGTCAAGTACAGAAAAACCTGTGGGATAGTATGAAAACCTGTTTAACGGACTTTTGATTTGGTCCAGTAACAAATTATATTTTGTTTACCTATTATATTAGAAGATAATCCGCAACATAATAGGTCTAAAATGGAATATTTTATTACCTATTCCCGTGTCCTTTTTCACTGTATCATTGTATTATAAATAATATATCTTATATTATCCATTTAATTAATTGGCCTGTTTCACACACAACGGTTTCATCTGAATGTTTAAAAGCTATATGAATTTTTCCGTCTTTTTCACCTATGACGATTTTTTCCCTAGAGTCATGTACGTATAGTTATATTTTACTTTTTAACATTAAACTCAGTTTTTTTTCAATATGAAATGCACCACTACCATGTGGCTTGTAGAGGTGTCAAATTTTAAAATTCAAAATATGGGATTAAAAAAAATGTATATTCCGAATGTTGTATCAAAAACACTAGACATTTTTTTAAAAAGGTATCTTGAATTCAATTGTAGAACAATTATTATTAAAGTATAAACATACAATTTTCAAAATATGAGTAATGATAGATCAGATAAAATTAACATTTTTAATTCAACTATATAGTCTATTTTATAAGCCGATTACAATATTATAAAATTATAACAACTTATTAATAGAAACGAAATCGGTATTCGGCAAGTTACCGATGGGTGGTAAAGAATAATACATTTTAATATCAACTGAATTATTATATATTTTTTTGACACACAAAAATAAAAATTTAATAATGAAAACAAATGAAGATATATTTTTATTTTATTATTTCAGTACGAAAATGAAACATAATTTATTATACGAGTACATTTATGGAAAACAGGCCATTTTAGAGTCTCAAAAAGAGTTGTCGGGACAACGGAACATCTCGTTAAAAAAAAGGGGCATTCTCATATATACGGGACGTCTGGCAACCCTACTTTGGTATCATCGTTTGACGATACAAAACGACGTAGTAATAGTATTTATACCCAATTAATGAATACACACTTCTCCTTAAGCATTTTTTATTCTATTTCTATCATTGTAAAGAACTTGAGACTTATTCCATAAGATAGGTCTGAATTCCAGGGTAGAAATTAACATTTCTGTGTCAGTATCCACGTGTTTTTATAACGAAAAAATGACAACAAACGAAAAACGAATAAAAATCGTTCTTTCTGAAAGCATGTGTTTATTTACGGAGACCACTGATAAAACGGCGACGGTCCGGCGCCGTACTTTTCAGTTATTGACTGAATCACGACTGTATCACGACGACCATAAGAAGAAAAAAATTAGTCCACTGTCCCGATGTGATTACTTTCTTCATGAAAGTTTCGTGTGCTTTCTGAAAATTAAATCAGTACGGACGAAATCGTCGTGTAAGAAACGGGCTTAACCAGATTCTGTGAGAGGGTGTGGCAGGGAGGAATAAAGTCCCGGAGCCGGTACGACCGAGAGGGCTTGTCGTTTCAGCTTTTTATACAATATTTTTATTGTACTAAATTATGTACAAGTAGTATGTATATCTTGGCCAAACCAATGCAAGTAAAGAGGCCTGGAACCGATCAGGCTCGGAACCCTCAAAAGTTCTCGTCAGTCCTGGGCAAAACGTATAAACGTGAAGAATTATTAGAACACTATTACTTAATTATCTAATTATATTTTAGTTAAAAATAAGTAAACTTAATTCCACTGAATAACTAAAAATGTACAGAACTGAAACCAATGCTGTAGTGTTATAACTTAATATACATTTTGTCATCGATGTAGTACCAAGTATTATAAATCTATTTTGTTAAGCGGTATTTTTTTAAATAATTGATTAAAAATCTTAGTTAAGAGTTAAAACGTAAATATTTATAATTTAATTAAAAATTAAATTCTTTAATCTGAAAAATGTTTAAGTTATGTACATTTCGTAAAATATTATAAGTAATACATGTATGTAATAAACGAATATTGTTTCTATGTGATACTTAGATATAACACTTAACTGGAGTTTACTATTTATTCGTCAAACCTTACAATCAAATAAATAATGTATTGAAAATATGTACATATTTACAGGGCCGTTCAGAGGGGGGGTAGGACCAAAATGCTCCAGGCTCCATTGTTGGAATATTTTTTAGGGGACCCTCATAAAGTCTTGATGTATAATAATTAATAATAAAGTCTTAATTACACTGAGCAATTTTACCCGCTGCGTGTCGGCGATTAAGGTCGCGCATGTGTGAGCGTGTAGCGACTTGTCCCATTACATTGAACAATTAAATTATAAATAATATGAATAATATTTAATTATATTATGTAAGTATGTAATTTAGTATATGAATTTAAATGAGCTTGATTGGTTAAGGTTTGGAAAAATATGTTTGCAAGAATATTGTTATTTTCAGTGAGTATTTTGTTTATCATATCTTATGGTCGAAGGGCTCCCAAATTAATTTGTCCCTGGTCCCGAAAAACCTTGGGACTGCCTTGCATATTTAATTCAATTGCAATTTTCTTTGTACCTTATCTACCTGAATTTTTGAAAAATAATTGTTAACAAGTTTTACGTTCTGATAAGTGTATCCAAACGTCAAATATGATTATTAAATGAAATCCTGGTTGGAATTATTTTATTTTAATAACTTTTTATAACATTTACAAATAAAAAAAACATTGTCAAGAGTTCAATCATTGTATTTCTTAGAGATGTTACATTGCTCCTGTTATAATTGGTTTCAAACATCGGCCAATCACATGCTTGAAAATGTCTCACGAGTGGGGGAATACAACACGTAACATTTTATCCGTCCGAATGGACCTGAATCCTGGATTCAAATCGTTGTCCGGCATTGTTACTTGAAGGTTCTTTGCTGAATTCGTTACGCTGACAAATTTATTTCTGACGAAATATTCCAAACATTACGAGTAAACCAGTAAGTTAACTACTGCCTTTATTATTTTATTTTATTTTTTATTATTTATTTCAACATAGTTATCATTTTATAAAGTATAATTCTGATTAACTTTCCTCTTTTGAGCTTATAAACTTGTGTTAAAAAAAAAGAATTATATTTAAAAAGTATTATGTAATTTTGAATTATAAAATAATGATGTAATATAAACAATATAATCATGAATAAGAAATAGACATTTCCACAATTGTATAAGCATAGTATATTTTATACTTAATATTACATACATATAAAAATAAATATTTTATACAAAGATAAAGATAAACAAATAGATTTTACCTTCACATAGCATTCTTCTTCAATTCCAGAAATATATATTTATGTACTACATATTTAATATTCATATTATTAAAGGGGTGGGTTGTATCACTAGACAAGGGAGGGGCTAATGGAGGTTTAAGAATTTAGTTAGTTGTTTTTTTAAATCTATATAAAATTTTAAATTGCAGAATATGTTCTTGAGTCCCTCATAAGTAAGTCATTTTTTTCACAATGAAAAAGGTTAAATAGTAACAGTATTTGTATCAATTTTAATCTGAAACCACTTTAAAATATAGGTAAATACATATAATTAACAACAAAAGTGAGCTATTTATTTATTAAAAAAATATATTAAATAGGTACCATATTCATCAATGACCATTAACGATATTATATTATAATTATTAATATATAATAATACTTTGCTTTGTAAAATAGATAGCTTAGTCCTAAGGGGGTGGGGGGGGGCTAACGCCCCTTAGCCACCCCCTCAAACCCGTCCATGTATTATTACCCATTATTTTTATTGAATTCATATGGCATAGAATTAGAACTTGTTAATCCCAAATAGTCTGCAATAGACTGACCAAAATATCAAAATATTTTTTATTGTTATATTTACCAGGAAAGTCATACATTTTAAATTCTCTTTAACTGCCTAAGTTCTTATAGTGATTATCTAATTTAAAAATTTTCAATAAATGCATTATTACTATTTTTGTATATAAGTACCTTACTGGTAAAATACCAAATTCCCTATAATTTTAATAATTTTGGTTAATTACTAGTGCATTTAGTATGTTATCTTAAAGTCTACCCCATACTAATATACCACATTAGTAATTTGACTGATACAGTGCATAATACATTATTCTCGTATGTTTTGCAACAGTATTTTTGACTTTGATTAATTTGTAGGTTATGAAACAAATCTTATCCAATAAGTTGTTAATACGTAAATTACATTTTAAGTTTAAATGTTTTCCACTTTTTAATAATTTTACATTTTTTTAAGTTGCAGATTTTGGTTCTGCCACAGCTATGAATTATCATAGTAATATAATTAACAATATATTTGTTAGTTGAGAAAGGCATGAATACAGTTTTTTCCATATTAAAAACTAGATTTCTATCATTTAAATTATCAATTATCTGACTTAAACCTCTAGGTTTTTTCATACACGCCACTCCAAAACTAATGAAAAAAAAGTAGACAATTATCATTAACATATGTGACTATAGATCCATCAATATTGATTTAATGATTTAAATTATATATATATATATATATATATATATATATATATATATATATGATAATAAAACATATATTATATATTATAAATAATCATAATCATTGTAGGCATTAAAAATTGACAAGAGTTTTTTTTTTTTTTTCTGATATATGTAAGTACATACATACATACATACTCGTACATACATAATGTTAAAGTTATAAACTTTTTAATATCCATGCACTCTAAAATAAAGGTACTTTTGTTATATAGGGAGGCCACTTGTGTTATATTTATATCTTGCCGCCCTGTTATTGCAACATTATCATTGTTATTGCATTAGTGGCCTCCGTATATAACAAAAGTACCTAAAGAAATTGTATTTACTTTTATAAATGCGTTGTAATACTACAAAATCTAATTTTTTTTTTTTTTTTTTTAATACGGCTTTGAAATTTATAAACATTATAAACTGCTAATTTTATTTTATATTGTCATGAAAAAACTTAATTTAAAAATTATAGTACTTAAAGCTTTGTTATTTTACTTAAATGTGTTAATCTATAAGATTATTAACTATCATCCATTAAAATTTCAGTTTGAAAAATTATTATTCATTTAACAGAGTGAAGGTAAAAAGTTGATACTCATCATTGATTTAAATTTTACCTTATTGTATTGAAGAAAATTAGTACTTCTAGTGCTTTATATTTCTGATAATTGACAAAAATTTAAAAAAAAAAAAATGAACTTCCATCTGTTACATAAAATGATGACAAATGATATATGACCTATCACACAATTTTTAAATACAATTTAAACTAGTTATCTTGTTTTAATATATATATACACATCTAAATTTGTTCTTTAATTATATAAAAAGCACATTGTAGTATATCAGAAATGTATCAATTTAATATGTAATTTTAATTATATGTAAAATTAATACCTTAATTATATTCTTTTATATTTTAGTGGATGAAATGGAACAATTAGCCAAGTCATTAATGCAATGTAAATCATTCAAAGAGAGACAGCAAAATCTTAATGAGGCACTTGATCATTTGTCATTTCAATACTCCCATTTGTACATTATGTTGTTTAGAGAGATGAAAAAGAGAGAAACTGAGTATAATGATACAAATAAAATTACTAAATGGTTAAGTACTTCAAAATCTAATTCTTATGTCAAACTCCACGAAGCATTGATATTGTTAAAAAGTAACAATATTATAGCTAAGGAAACTTATCTATTTAATTTGAGACATATGTTAAACCAAACAATTGAAAATGGTTCCAACATTGGAGATGCTGTAAAAATCTGCTGGTTAATTGAAAAATCTGCTCATTTGTCAACTATTTATGAGTAAATTGAAATTCATACAATTTTATTTTTGTGTAGAATAATTTTTTTTAACTAAAAAAACATCATTTTTATGTTTTTAGAAGTTTGAAACATCTTATTCAAAAAGTGAAAAAATTGCAAAACAATAAACGTAATTCTCGATTGAGAAACATTGAACAGAATGATCCATTTGAATCAACACTAAAAAATGATTTTGATCAATTACACATTCAAGGTGCCCAACATAAAAATCAAATCTGGCCATCAATCATTCAACCTACACATTATAATTTGGTTCATGATTTACCGCGCTTCAATTGTAAGTATATTGAATATAACTTTTTTTTATTAGAAAAAAAAAAAAAATTATTATTACTTTTATAGTGAACTGTTTTGATTATGATCATTTTGAGATAAATGCCATGGTCAACAGACGACCTGCATCTAACTTTTCGCAATCACAACATAACCTAACAATTGTTAGCCAAGATATGGATGGAGCCTTCATACAATGGCTTTACTATTTGAAACTTCACAAGTATCAATGGTTCTTTAATGGCCTGAGTTACTTGGAAATTGAATGTATTGATGAAGACAATATTGAAGGATTCATATCTAAAGTTAATGTAAACTTCATACCAAAAGGAGCACAAAAGAAGATATGTATATCAACTAAAGCGTTGAGGGATCGGCAGCAAAAGTTTAAAGACTTGATTTTGGTAAGTTTCGTCTATTGAAATGAAATTTTGATTAGTTTTTACTTGTATACTTATTATAATAAAATACAATTTATGATTACAGTCTTTGGATTTAGAAGTCACTCTAGTTGAATTATGTGAGTATATGACGTACATGCGGGATATACTACATTATCCTATTCCAAATAAGAACTGTGTTGTTGGTGACCAACTGCAACAGGACATAGTTCTCATCATGGAAAAAGCATTAAATCAAGTGTTGGAGAAGCTAGCGGCTAGTAGAATTCTTATTTCCCTAAGTTTACTTGGGACAACCATAAATAAATATTTGGAATGTTCGTTGTTAATTATTGGGAACCAAACGTTCATGAGACATCAAATTGAAAAAACTACATTACTAGCCGAGACTCTTAAGTTCAAGGTTAATAATGTTAAAAAGAATTTCAATTAAAATTTAACAACAACCAATTAAATTTGTATTCGTTCTCTAAATTATTTTTATATACTTTTTTTTATTATTTTATAATTTTGAGTTTTAAGTTTTTTATTAGTTATAACATTTTGTTAAAAATGTATCAAAGGAGGATTTTATATATTTTATGTATGCATGTTAGAAAATACTATTGTTGTTTGATTACTTTTTTTTTACTATAATATTTTATATGTTCACAGATATATCTGATAGTACCATAAGCTTTTTAAATTATGTTTTTTATCTTATACATAAATGTCATGTTCTTTTATTAATAGTATAAAAATATATTTTATTAAACATACATTGTTGTATATCTTATGAATTGTTAACTAATTTTTGTTACATTTATGGTTTTTATGTTTTAACTTTTAATTTAATTGAAATTTATAAGTGTTTTATTATATAAATTTTAATTATATTTGTGCTTTGTTCTGATTTAACAGTTAATATGATTCTGTTCACTCAACTCATTTTGGAAATAAAATTATGTTATTTGGATTTTTTTTTTTTATTTACTTAATATTCTTCAATTTAATTTATTATTTTAATGATAATGTTATAATTTTCATACTTAAAGCATACTACCATTGATGATATAATAATTAAATTAACATTAAAGTTTCGCTTATTATTAAAATGTTCTTGGGTATTTAATAACATTGTCTGGTGATGAGCAGTTAAATCAAGAACATAAATAACTACAATATTAATATTTATCTAATAATAAATACATTACCTAAAATGTATTTTGCTGTGTATATTAATACACATTGTTTTTATATATTTTGTTTTATTCATTATTTGGCTAATTTGTTTTACTCTGCTCATTGTTTGGTAATTGATTTATTTCAATCATGTTACATTACGTACCTTTAAATACAAATTCAAACAAATTAATTAAATTTATTATTGCGGATCTCCAGCAACCTACAACCTTTTTTTGTGTGTTTAATATAGGCGTGAGGATATGAATTGTTGCTAAAAGTTAATCGATAAATATAATACATAGCCCGTTCCCAAATACTCCTATTTTATTTACATGGTAGATATACAAAAACCAAATACCACTGATTCACTGATCACTGTATCTCAAAAAACTATTCAATGTACACACCTGAAATTTGGTATAGTGGTTCTTCTAATACTTTCACTGTAATAAGAAAGAATTTTTAGAAAATCGCATATTTAAGGGTCGAAACAGTTTCGGGCTGGATGTATAAATTTTTATATTTTGGTTACCTAGGAAATATTTGATGTGTTTAATATGTTGATTTTAATAATCACCGATTAAGAATTATGTAAAATATTAAACTGTATAAATGAATAAAAATCAAAAAATATTGTGTAATCCAATTGCACTTCAATAAATAGCATTTATTTAAAACCTCGGATTGTCAGACTTTTCTCGATAAAATGAATAAATAAAAAAAAGAATGATCCAAAATAAATTGAACACTGTTGTAAGGATTTTAGTATACGTTTAAATACAGTAAACGGTACAGCAAGTCGTGATAGACATAGAAATATTTAAAATTTACCTAGGCTTATTACATTACTCAACAAATTATTATTTCAACCGTTATTTTGGATGATTTATACTTAAACAGACATAGGTTCAACTCTAACACCCAAGAAGTTTAACACTCACAATTTTCTCAACGGACAACGTCAAGTATTACTCATTCATTGATCATCGCTACAATTCAAAACTATATGAACTTGAAATTTGTCATGGAGGTCTTTCCGGTATTCAATACATGCAATAAGAAGGGATTTTATAAAACATTGAAACCGCCAAATACGATAATTCAGAGGTAATTACCACGAAAACTACCGATTCATTCAAACTTTCGTTTTATTTGTTTTATAATCACTAACAGTTACACCAAACTTGGTTTTAAATAATGTAAGTTAATAATCCATTAAAACCTATGTCACGACCAAGAATGTTCCGTCCGAAGCTGTGTAATTAAGATTTATTAACCCTTCAGTCTCAAATTTTATTTTGTATCCCAGTTTTATTTTAAAAGTTACTTTTTACATAAATATTATTCAACTATAAAATTAATATACTTTCAAATGCATGTACCTATTTTTAATTCAAGATGTATAGTTATACAATTAAATTATTGTGATAATTTTGTTTCATTAGTCATCAATCACATAATTTTTATTTAAATATAGTTGACAATTATTATTTATCTTCTATTAATTGCATTTCCTCTAACTTAATGATGGCTAAGTCAAGCTATTAGATTAGTAATTTTAATTTTAATACTATGCATATTTTCACTGTTCAAAATCTAGGTTAATTTTAACTAATTATGTGCAAACCATTTTCCATGAATAATAAAATTAAAATTATTTATTACATTTTTCATATATTTTGAAAAATATGTGCAATGCTAATTAGTTAAATTCCTCTTTAGAAGTAAAAAATTACATATCATATAAATAATTATATATTTGATATTTATATTATATTATTCAGAGTGTCTTAAAAATAACCCCAAATTTAAATCTTCTATAAATATTTTATAATTTATTTATCTTAAAAAAAAAACAGAACAAATATATCATTCTCTTTATTAGAAGTTAAGGTTTAACAGTGAAAAACAGTATCGGGTATATTTACAAGTTGTTCATGCGAGAGAGATTATTCTAAACTACATATTTTAGTCTAAATTTTAGACTAGTACGAGTCAAGGATCGTATTGACATCTTTTTATGAGAATCGAACGAGAAGTATGTATGAAAATTGATTATGGAGAAATAATTGAAGAATTGGTGTAAAGGGTTTCTACCCCTCAGATTTTTTTTTTATGATATTTTATCATTATTTATAATAATTTACATATTATAGTAAAATAATATTTTCATTTTACTATGATTAGGTTAGGTTAAACTCAAGAATACTAAATAAAATACACACTTCAAATCAAAGTATAAAATCATACAAAACGTTTGTGATACAGATAATAATAAAGTAATAATATTGGTTCATGATTTATCAATGATAAAAATAAATTATAATAATTTTGAAAATGTTTACGCAAAAAATCTTATCAGCATAATTACAAGAATGGCTCCCACGATTGTAGATACAGTAATCCCTCGTTATCCGCGTTTTTTTTATCCGCGGTTGGGTTTACGATAACATATTTTTAATGCGATTGCGATAACGTTTTACCGTTATTACACGAACTCTGTAGAAATTTATTTTTGACAATAATTGTAGATAATTGTTGTTATATCGCCTTAGGTATAACACATATACATTATACATACTTATACTTATTGCAGATAAAACAGAAAAGATTACCACACCTGCATGATTAATAAATAATCGTCAATTGCTCAGTTGTAAGATGATATTTACGCGTGACATGTGTACAGCATTGTTTAATGAATTTAGTAGTAAAAATATTTTTTAATGGCTTCTCAATGTAAAATGCCAATAAAAAGGAGAAGAAATGTTTTATTACTCATTCAAAAAATTGAAATTTTGGACAAATTAAAGTGGTGATATTGTAGCATCACTTGCTAGAACGTACAAAATGAATGAACATAGTGTTCGAGAAATAAGTAAAAATTAAGAAACAATACGAAAGATAATAAAAAAATTAGCTGTAGGAATTAAAAAATTATTAATTTTTAAAATTAAAAAAAATTAAACCGAACCTCCCTTTTACATTGATTTCTGGTCTCGTTATCCGCGGATTTGCTATCCACGCAGGTTTGCTGGAACGTAACCTTTGCGAATAACGAGGGATTACTGTAATAATATTATTACTTATACTAAATATGTACTAAATTCATTAAAAAACTTTATTATACTACTACTCAAATTAAGTGGATTGGAAGGGAGATTCAAGGGGGTTCAAGAGTGCCAAAACATGGTTTTGCCCAAGGCGCCAATACTTCTACCGCTGGCCCTGTATATATATATATATATATATATAATGAATTGTACGCGCGGTGAATTGTGCACGCGGTGAATTGTAAATACCGTGAAATGTTGACGGTGAATAGTCACGCGGCGAATTCATTGCGGTGAAATGTCTGGATATCTAATTTACACTTTTATTTTAATGTGTTTTACCGTTAGCAAGTTTTTTACTTCACAAGTTTTGATGGAAGACGCTTCTTCTTCTTTTTTTACCATTATATTTATCTGTGTATTAGTTTTGTGCATCATAATGAGGTCGATTTAGCATTGTCTCATCGTTTATTTTACACTTCATTTACTCCATCAATTTTCTATAATTTTTATTTTGTTTAAATTGGTTTTTTTTATATTATGTCAATATAATATTGTTAAATCATTTATTGTTATTGGCTTCATTTATATGATAATTTATGTTATTTAAGGTAATTTATTATATTTTTTTTTTTTATTATTTAGAGGCGCATAAAATATTTGCCTCAGCGATTATAATAAAAATACAAAATTACTAAAATTACTACATAAAACAACTAGGAAATAAAAGTTAAATAATGAACATAATTAAAGTAAAAAGCCTTCTGAGAGGAAGAAGTTAACAATGGAAGTAATAAGGAATGCATTAGGAAATTGGAAAATATGTGGAAAGGTAAATGGAATATTAAAGGAAGAACAGATATTGGAGAGAAGCTGGCGTTTAGTGAGAAGGTCTGGACAGTTAAAGAGGAGATGCGAAGCATTGCATATAGCAGGATGAACGTGCCGAGTACAGAAAGGAGAATCATTAAGAGATAAATGGAATGAGTGGGCCGGGAGGCGGTTGTGGCCGAACCGGAGGCGAGAAAAAGAGATGATGACTTTACGGGAAATAGGAATATTATGAAACCAGGGAAAATGTAGGACGTGGGGACATTTATTATATTAGTTTATTTGTTATTTTATTTTTATTTAAACGTCGGTTCTTTGTTAGCTGTTTAAAAAAAAAAAAAAAAAAATATAGAAAAATTTGTGTTATATTATGATGTAGGGTGTTAAGCGTATATTCTAAAGGTATACTATTA